GAATGAATGGGCATCACACTGAAGATGAATGAATGGGCATCACACTGAAGATGAATGAATGGGCATCACACTGAAGATGAATGAATGGACATCACACAGTAGATGAATGAATGGACATCACACAGTAGATGAATGAATGTACATCACACTGAAGATGAATGAATGGACATCACACTGTAGATGAATGAATGGGCACCACACTGTAAATGAATGAATAGACATCACACTGTAGAGGAATGAATGGGCATCACACTGAAGATGAATGGGCATCACACAGTAGATGAATGAATGGGCATCACACAGTAGATGAATGAATGTACATCACACTGAAGATGAATGAATGGACATCACACTGAAGATGAATGAATGGACATCACACAGTAGATGAATGAATGGGCATCACACTGCAGGTGAATGAATGGACATCACACTGAAGATGAATGAATGGACATCACACAGTAGATGAATGAATGGGCATCACACAGTAGATGAATGAATAGGCATCACACAGTAGATGAATGAATGTACATCACACTGAAGATGAATGAATGGGCATCACACTGAAGATGAATGAATGGGCATCACACTGAAGATGAATGAATGGACATCACACAGTAGATGAATGAATGGGCATCACACAGTAGATGAATGAATGTACATCACACTGCAGGTGAATGAATGGACATCACACTGAAGATGAATGAATGGGCATCACACTGAAGATGAATGAATGGGCATCACACAGTAGATGAATGAATGTACATCACACTGCAGGTGAATGAATGGACATCACGCTATATCACAACACAGGGGTGCAGAGAGTGTTAGGTGATGTGGACACTGATGATGTCACTATCAGGGTGTGGTTACTACAGAAGAACCTTGAGAGCATTGTAGGGAACAATTGGAGAAAGTAAAAGTCCAGATGTTGGGTATCGGTGGGATTGGCTTCCCCGAAGAGATGAGTTTTCAGGGGTCACCTAAAGGTGGACGGAGTAGGAGATAGGTGGACAGATTGGGGTAGGGAGTTCCAGAGAGTGGGAGAGGCTCAGGAGAAGCCCTGGAGGCCAGCATAGGAGGAAGTGATGAGGTGGTAGAGAGCAGGAGGTCTTTGGAGGAGCCAAGAGGATGGTGATGTAGCTCGGGGTAGATGCTGGTAGGGTTTAGAACTTTAATGGGCAAGCACAGGTCAATCCCGGATCTCATCCCTACCGGTGGTGGAGTCTTCCGGCAGTGGAATGGCAAAGGGACAATCTCTCCTCAGAGCTCACAGTGGGAAAGAACGTGACAGAACTGTCCTATGAGAACCTGGTACGCCCTGAGGATCATCATGTGTGTGTTGTGAGCGACTGGTCAGGGCTGATCAACCAGATCTGGGCTCTACTCAATGTACTGAGCAATGACAGGAAACGAGCCGCAGAATCCCCAGAGAAAAGAGGAAGTCCTTATCCCTTCAGTCTCCTCTAATATAATATGGAAGATGTACAATGAGGCAAAGTACTGAAGAACAATACAGACTGCAGTTATAATGATCCCCACAAGGTGGTGATATCATCTACTAAGGCTGGAACGCAAACACAGGAAGTGATGTCAGGTACAGACAGGAAGTGATGTCGGGCAGAGGCAGGAAGTTCTTGGCGAGAGCTTAGTAGAGAGGAGACACTGCTGGACCTGGCATCAGAGGTAATAAGATATCAGAGCCGCCATTTATAGACCGGATACATCCTAAATATAGAGCCATTTATCCAACTGTCCATCTAGGGCAGAATTTTCCTCTAGATGGGCCTGAAAGTCATGAGGTGTATAACATCAAGATACGTATAGTAGAGTCTTGAAAATTGAAGATGTTCTTCATTGGTTGACAAAATAATCTACGAGACTGAGCAGAATTTCGGCACTTCCTATCCTCACGTTAGACGACCAGAATGTTCCCCTTCACAAGGAGACCTTTATTATTATATTATGAGGAACAGTCTGAGGTGTGAGGACTCTGGAGGAACTCTGTGTAGACATTATTCATCCATTCTAATGTTATTATCCATCTACAGAGAGGAGAGTACTGTATAGATCACATGACCACATCAGTAAGCATGGAGAAGGATTGGAATCACATGACTGAAAAGATATTGGACCTCACCCTGGAGATCATCTACCTGCTGACCGGAGAGGTGAGGAGGATTCTGGGAGGGTCACATGACTTCATGCTCCTTGCATTCAGTTGCATTCACTTATCGTTCATATACTGCCCCTGACATACCCACCACGCTCCTCTCCTGCACATGCTGCCCCATCTCATACTCTCCCCCCTAAAAGACTTATTCATCCTGGAATGGGGACACCTTCGCTAGGTTCCATTGGCTGGAGAGTTGAGGGGACACTAGGTGAGGTGGACACCAGGAATGTATGTAGCAATAATTGTCTCTGCTTCTCTCTACTCAGGACCATACGGTAGTGAAGAAAGTATCCGGTGAGCCATTAACATCCAGCAGCTATCTTCAACGGACGTCACCCATCACCGAGCCTCCACCTCACTGCCTGACAGTGAAGGAAAAAAGTGGTAAGAAAATTGTAGAAGTCACCAGGAAGATCATCGAGCTGCTGACGAGAGAGGTGAGCGGTGCCGGGAATTCTGGGACATTATTTAGTAACAGACAATGATCTGAATGGTGACTGTATCATTGTGTGTCTCAGGATGTCTCTGCGGCAAAGTGTTCAGAAGGACACCGGGATCTCTACAAGGACGTGATGATGGAGAATGAGCCGCCCCTCACATCACCGGGTAAGAGGAGAGAGCAGTACGGAGGCTCCACCTAGATCCCCCATCATCTGATACACACATAGAAACAATGTATTCAGTCAGTGTGTGTGTTTCCTACAGATGGATCCAGTAAGAGGAACCCACCAGGGAGATGTCCAAGTCCTCTGTATTCCCGGGATTCCACACAGGAAGATCTCACAGTCCCTCACCATGGTCAGGTAGGTGGAACTGATGATCTAGAACTCCAAAATTTCGAGATCATCTCTTTCTGGGTGTTTTTTCGGTTGTTGGCACCCCTGTTATTTTCCGTCATTTTGTTTGCTTAAGGGTGAAGAAATGATTACCGTGAAAGTGAAGATTAAAGAGGAAGAAGAAGATGACGCATACGTGAGGGACGATCCATCTGTGGTGACGATTAAAGTGGAGGAATCCGATGTAGACATCGGCACGGGTAAGCAATGCAGAAACCTTTCACGTTTCCATTTGGCTCCCATCGACTTTGAAGTGTACAGATTGATTGGAATCCATAGACCTTCCTCTTCATCTAGTACGAGGAGAATAGATTATAAATGGTGGACCAGCAAAGTAAAAGTAGAAATTTTATGGAAAGAAAAATCTCTTGACATTCGGTTGAATGAGTGACAAGTGTGCAGCAGCAGGAGAACTATCTGCCACCCAACCACGCCAACGCCCAGGTGGGAGGGCTGTCTTCTCAAGTTCTCCCATGTTTCTGATATTGTATGAAGAGAAATTAACATGTCTTAAGAAATAATGATACATTAGGTCCAATGGATTCTAAAACTGCGTCATCCATATGAAGAACATTCTTCAGCTACCAGAAAGGTTGAGGAACCTTGATAAACCTTCTCCACCACCTAATGTGTCCACAAAATGAGATGAAGATATAGTACGCTATATGTCTGATCAATCTCCAGTACTCGCCAAACAATGTGAACTTTGTATTTACTAAGCTGTCCAATGTTCCCAACAAATGAGGAGGAGATACTGGACACCATAGGAAGGTCCATCTCCATCAATCAATATAATGTCATGTCCCCAACAAATGAGGAAGAGATACTGTACACCATATGAAGGTCCATCTCCATTCCTCAATATAACGTCATGTGACCAACAAATGAGGAGGAGATGCTGTACACCATATGAAGGTCCATCTCCATTCCTCAATATAACGTCATGTGACCAACAAATGAGGAGGAGATACTGTACACCATATGAAGGTCCATCTCCATTCCTCAGTATACGTCATGTTATACGCTGTGTATGGCCTCTGCCTGTGAAATGTAAAAGGATTTTATTTTCACCTTTTTATATATAATGTCTTCTACAGATGGGCGCTATGTCGGGAATACCTCGGAGGAAGATCTTACTTTATCCGCAGATAATAATGTGGAAGATAATGACGTCACGCAACATTCTCCAGGAGTGAATCCCATTACTCATAAGAGACATCACAGACCTTCCCATTCAGAGACATCGATGGATCCCTCTAAACCTGAGCAATCAGATCCGGATCCCCGGGAAGGGCATCACGCTGACAAGAGCTCATTGACTTGTTTGGCTTGTGGAAAAACCTTTAAGATAAGATCCGAACTGCTAATCCATCTCAAATCCCACACCAACGTGCCTGTTTCAGTTTCAATAAGTGGTAAATGTGTCCCTCATCAATGTGAACTTCTTAAACACTGTAGTGGTCACACTTGTATGCGTCCCTTTTCGTGTTCACAGTGCGGGAAAAGTTTTGCTGAGAAAAGCAAACTTGTTATTCATCTGAAGACTCACACGGGCGAGCGGCCATATTCGTGTTCAGAGTGCGGGAAGTGTTTCCTTCGGAAAGCAGAACTGCGTATACACCAGAGGATTCACACGGGTGAGCGGCCCTATACGTGTTCGGAGTGCGGAAAACGTTTCTCTCGGAAAACGGATCTTATTACGCACCAGAGAATTCACACGGGCGAAAGTCCCTTTTCCTGTAAGTATTGTGAGAAGCGTTTCAACGTGAAGACAAACCTGATCACACATCAGAGAATTCACACCGGTGAGCGTCCTTTTAAATGCTCGGAGTGCGGGAAATGTTTTACTCGGAAAACAAGCCTCCTTAAACACCAGGAGAAGCACAAAGACGAATGTTCTTTTTCATGCACAGACTGCGGGAAAAATTTTACACGTAAGGGAAACTTAATTCGACATCAGAAAACACACACCTGATGTTGACCAACGTATGGTGGCATTTATCAGGATCAATTATTTACTGGATAGAACAACTGTATGATGAAACTGAGGGGATGGAGTTATCTGTTGGCTTCTTCTATGACTTGGATACTCTGGTGGTATCTACCCTCTGCCAGTCCCTTCCTGCTCTCCGTGATGTGTCTCCACCTCCATTCTCCATAATCTTAAATAAACTACAGTCCATGTCTAGGCAAAATTACAACACCCTCCCCTTCATCCATCACTCCAACGTCGTGTCCACCCCTTCACAATTTTAAAGGAAGACCTTCCTAAGACCCTTTTAACATATCTGATCATGTCATGTGACCTTCCCCGGGGGCCATGAAGACAAGTAATCCACCAATGCAGTCCACTGACAGGTCTTTCATCACCCCTCGTAGTGTCTTCAAGGCCTGTGATGACTCTGCCAATGGGAAGTGTCCACATCACCAATCGTCAAAGTGACCATCTGAGGAAGGACCCTTCCAGTATGTAGTCCAGAAGAGAGGTCTGACAGGTCTTTCATCATGCCCCCCTAGATTCTTCCAAGACCTGTAATGACTTTGGCAATGGAAAGCCAACGGAAAGTGTCCACATGGCCATCTGAAGGAGGACTCTTCCAGTCTGTAGTCCAAAACAGAGGTCTGACAGGTCTTTCATCATGCCCCCCTAGATTCTTCCAAGACCTGTAATGACTTTGGCAATGGAAAGCCAACGGAAAGTGTCCACATGGCCATCTGAAGGAGGACTCTTCCAGTCTGTAGTCCAAAACAGAGGTCTGACAGGTCTTTCATCATGCCCCCCTAGATTCTTCCAAGACCTGTAATGACTTTGGCAATGGAAAGCCAACGGAAAGTGTCCACATGGCCATCTGAAGGAGGACTCTTCCAGTCTGTAGTCCAAAACAGAGGTCTGACAGGTCTTTCATCACGCCCCCCTAGATTCTTCAAGGCCTGTAATTACTTTGGCAATGGAAAGCCAACGGGAAGTTTCCACATCACCAATCGTCAAAGAGACCATCTGAAGAAGGACCCTTCCAGTCTGTAGTCCAGAACAGAGGTCTGACAGGTCTTCCATCATGCCCCACTAGAATCTTCAAGACCTGTTATGACTCTGCCAATGAAAAGCCAACAGGAAGTGTCCACATGGCCATCTGAAGGAGGACTCTTCCAGTCTGTAGTCCAAAACAGAGGTCTGACAGGTCTTTCATCATGCCCTACTAGAGTCTTCAAGACCTGTTATGACTCTGCCAATGAAAAGCCAACATGAAGTGTCCACATGGCCATCTGAAGGAGGACTCTTCCAGTCTGTAGTCCAAAACAGAGGTCTGACAGGTCTTTCATCATGCCCTACTAGAGTCTTCAAGACCTGTTATGACTCTGCCAATGAAAAGCCAACATGAAGTGTCCACATGGCCATCTGAAGGAGGACTCTTCCAGTCTCCAATACAGAACAGAGGTCTTGACAGGTCTTTCATCACACCCCACTAGATTCTTCTAGACCTGTAATGACTTTGGCAATGGAAAGCCAACGGGAAGTGTCCACATCATCAATCGTCAAAGTGACCATCTGCGGAAGGACTCTTCCAGTCAGTAGTCCAGAACAGAGGTCTGACAGGTCTTTCATCACACCCCACTGGAAACTGCAAGACCTGTAATGACTCTGCCAATGGGAAGTGTCCACTTGGCATCTGAAGAAGGGCTCTTCCAGTTTGAGTCCAGAACAGAGGTCTGACAGGTCTTTCATCACGCCCCACTAGAATCTTCAAGACCTGTTATGACTCTGCCAATGAAAAGCCAACAGGAAGTGTCCACATGGCCATCTAAAGAAGGACCCTTCCAGTCTGTAGTCCGGAACAGAGAAGACCCAGGACCACGAATTCCGGTGAATATTTGGTTTATTTAGTTTAGATGTTTAACTAGATGGAGGGGGGAAGTATTTTTTTTTTTTTTTGTAGGGAAGGGGGTTCCTTGGCTGGAACAGCTTTCAAAATCCAGCAGGGACAGCCTAAGCTCTTCATAATCACAGCAGCAGGTATAGAGACACAAGAACTCAAGAGGAGACATCTCACCACCTTCATGATCAGAGACATTCGATGGATCGCTCTCCAGCACCTGCCAGATCTCACTTCTTTTTTGTTGGACCCTCTGACACCAGGAAGTTTGGTGGTTTTTCACTCTCCGGTTTTGAAGATCAAGGCACCCAGATAGTGAGTGTCAACACCCGGACATCTTCAGTGATTGGACCCTTTCCCTACTACTAGCAAGTCTGGCCTTTGATTTCTTTCAAGCTACCTTACATACTACCTTACATACTAATAATAATAGAATAAACTAATAATAAAATAATAATTTAGCTTTTCCCTTTTTTATATATATATTGTTTTTCGGTCAGTTTTGATGAATTACATGCTGATATTATTTTTGTATTTTACTTAAAGCCGACATATAATCCACTAATACTTTGCCTTCCATGGTTCCTTGTGTGTTCCCCCCTCATCTACATGATAATGACATCATAAAATAAAGCCTGCGTTCATGACATACCTTATTATAAATCGGGTCGGTCTCTCTGCTTTTTCTATGCAATGCGGGCAGATCATGGCTGGTGGGAGGGGCTTCCTGAAAACATCACCGCACACTGCCTCCGTACTCTTCTCAAGAGGCCTCGGCCATGATGTCAGCTGGCTCTTGGGAGGAGTTATGCAAATTTTAAAATGTCTTGATGGGTCAGTCTGGAGGAGTGGGCGTTGCTAAGAGGACTGTATTTGCATGCGGACCAGTCATGTGATGCTGATTGAAATCCAATGACTGAAAGAGGGAGGCCAGGGTGAGTCATTAAGCACCAGATCATGCTGGATGTCCTCCAGGCAGACAATGAGTTGGGTTCTGATGGTGGAATACCGTTGTGTGCATGGATGGACTACTTCTCATTACAATAAATTGTAATTTGCACGGCTGCTGTTTGAAGGCCTCCTCCGCCCGGAGACAGGAGGTCCTCTTCACTGACCGGAGGACATTTCTCCACCATTCATTGAACATGACCAGTGGCTGCCTTTAGCAAGCCAGTTGACAGAAATAGAGCGTGGTTCTGAGAAGGTTTTCAGGACTCTGGCCAACTAGGTTCAATAAAGTTATATCAATCCATCCCTGGGTTGGAGCATGGGAATCTACGTAATCCCGCACTTCCACTGCTATATTGTAACCTTGTGAGCTTCACTTC